ATAGGATATATTTTTTTTGTACCGGCATAATCCTTAAAAGAGGAAATCTCATTCGGATAAATTCCTTAATATATGAAAACTATAAGGAAGTTAAACATCTACAAACCGTCACTTTAGCTTCTATAAATATGCCTATAAGCTGCACCTTCCTTCCATGCTTGCACCACTGTTTCGAAATCAAACTTAGCTATTGGCGGACCCTCAATGGAGATCCTCACAAGCTCGTCAACCATCTCCGTCCCCATCTGGTTTCGAAACTTATTCTTCACCAAGTTGATTCTACTAAACCCACACTCACATGATGCAATGTTGCAGCATTGAACCATGCCGACCATTGCCAACTTCAGCAAGTTGGGATACTTCTTCGTCCAGATACTGTGAGCATAAATCATTCCCCAAACATCCACAAAAGTTTTCCCCTTCCACTCCTCGGAAGCTATTATCTTCCATAAACTGTACTCTTCAGCCAGCTCTGCTTCATTGATCATCCCTGTGTAGAACTTTCCAAGTTCCTGAACCTCAAACTTACCAAAAGCTTTCAACTCATGCACTGATGAAGGTAAGTTGATAGGAGCTAAAAAGTGGAACTTGGAGAGAATACCAGTTGCCTCAGAGTCCTGTAACCTGGTCCTTATACCCTCCAAAAGACTAGTGCCAAAGTTCTTTTGAAACTCTAGTACCTCCTCCAAATCTTCTCCGTGAATCGACCTGATCATTTCCACGTCTCTGTATTCGTTTCCCTTAATTGATGACCTGAGCTCATCCAAAGGACCATTGCGGCCTCCACCATCTGGGATTATAGGATATCCTCTGCTATCCAATTGAAAACCATTCAAATCCACCTGCTTATCCAAATAGTATACCTGTATCTTGGCCATAGTTGCCTTGCATAAAGGTGCAACACTAGTCACGTCCATAGTCTGTGCTTGAAACTCCAGGTTCAGCTGATTTACCACTGCCAAGATATCTCCTAGAAAGTGGAGTGCATAAAGGAACTTGAAACTCCTGAGACGGTCATACAGCTTCCTTGTTTGAGTTGTTCTCCCATCCTTAAAAAACTTGAGTAGTGGTTCCAGACACTCACACATCCTGGTAATGGCTCCACCCCTACTCAACCAACGTGTCTGCTGGATCTGCAACACCTTCAGCACCTTGAAGTCTAGCTCGTCCTGTAGTGCCTGTAGCTGCTGCAACCTGCTAGAACTTCTTGAGAGAAAACTGGCTACCTTGTTCACCACCTAATCCACTTCATCGCAAAGATTATGAACTGCTGGATTCTTGTAGACGTCCTCCACACATAAGTTAGCTCTGTGTGAAAGACAATGTATGGAGGTCATGAATGGATTGACCTCCTTCAACCTTGCTGCAACCCCTGTCCTGTTTCCTGTCATAACATTGCAGCCGTCTTAACCAAACCCCACGAACCTGCTCATATCCAGCCCCCAATCCTGCAGTGAAGCTATGGTGGTGTTAAAAATCACCTCTGCAAAACTATTGTTCACCATTGACAAGCCTAAATAGCTTGTCAACACCCTTGCGTCGTGGATGTAGGTCACGTAAAAGATGAGGTGTTTACTAGTACTGCATTAACAAATTTAGAACCAAGAATATCACTAATCAGCTTTACTTTATATCCGTGCTCTCATCTAGCATTATTCCAAAGAATGGGCTAGCTTTAACTTTCTCCAAAATTTGATCTAAGAGCACCTACACAACAAAATTCAGTCAAGGTTTATCATCAGACTTTAGCTCACCTTGTTGATGAAAGTGATGAAGCGTGAGCAGGCCATCACGTTCTTGTACATGCTAGGAACATAAACTCCGTTCAACTGTTGTAGCTCCAGAAGCAGTGGGTATTTGCGAAGAGGAACAAAACCTTATGCAATAGCATAAGCAGTCCTAAACAAGCAAATAACTCCCTTCTCTACTGCCTCTTATTGCCGATCATTTGCAGCTGCCATGGAGGATTGACTGCCAACTTTCACCTCAGCTATGTAAATGGAATGCTTGTGATCTTTTGTTTGCCCATGAGCATGGAAACTTGAAGTCTTCATGTTTGTGGAACCTGATGTACCAAATGGATTCTTGCAATTCTTGTTGGCACGGCATATTGAGCAAAAGATCAGTGCTGTAATGCAAGTAGGATTAGATGAAAAATCAAGAAAATTATTACCATTTTTCTGATCAAAATGCAACCACCGCCATTTTATGACCCATGCAGGTTGCCACTTCCCCCTACAAATTTTCTTCTCCTTCTCCTCTACTGATGCAGCATCACCTTCTCCCACTTCACATCCCTCCTTAGGCTCAGTCCCCTCCAGGTTGTCCTCATCTACAAAACCTCCTCTCTCCACAATGGGGGCAAAACTTAACAAAGATTGCTTTGATTGAGCAATGGCTTTTGCAGCAGCCTTGCTCCTACCTGCAGGCACCCTCCTCATTTCCCAGATGATCTCCCCACCAAAATCTATGTTCACGCCCACGCCCACGCCCACGTGAACATTGTGAAAGAATATTCTAACCTTAGAGCCCATGTGAACATTGTGAAAGAATATTCTAACCTTAGATTAATGACATGGTTTACTTAGTGTAACTATGTTTAGTTAGTGTTAACTAAGATTGATGATTATTTATTTAATCTTGTTAATTAGAATTAATTAAACATAATTAACCATGAAACCCTAATCCTCAAAAGGTAGGTGAATGTACCGGCAGGATTCCTTATAACATCCAAACGTACCGGATCTAGCCTTATACGAGATTTTTTGCACCGGTCGTATATCCTTGTAACTTTGTTTTGTACCGGCAATTCTGAAATGGTACTGGCGGGGTACAAAGGAGCCTCGGACTTTGTTACACACTGACAGCAGGAGACACCTCTGATTGGCTTTTGCATGTCTTCAGTACATGCATCTGACAGCTTCCACCTCAATACAAGTCACAGTCTCAAAAAAAACCAAGGCTATTAATGTTTCTTCTCCATTCAAACACATAAAGACAAGACTCAATCCCTAGGCAGGACAGAAACAAATGGAATCAGAGTAAGGCCAGGAAGGATAATCAAAATAGCATACCTCACATGCAATATACATCCGTGCTGGCTTATATTGCCTCCCATGTCATTGTTTCCAGATCACAGATGTTGAGGTCATTGAGTAGACACCTATTGGAGTCTTCTCCACCAAACATGACTCCACTAAACAGGATCCGATCAGCGAAACAGACTGGCCCCTCAAACAGCAAATGGTCAATCTCAGGTTCGTGATACAGTATGTCACATGCACCAGAGCTTGTCCATATGTTGGAAAAAGCAACCAAGTGAAAGTCTGTATATCAAAAACATGAACTGGAGATAGAGAGCACTGAAGTGAGACACTGAAATGCATTATATTAACCTGAGACAGAGTCAAGGGTTTCTCAAGTGGCCACCAACAAACAGCATCTGTTCTTCAGAATCTGAAAACACTCCGGAATATTGTAAGATGAAAGTAAAAAGCTAAAAAAATTACCAGGCTATGACCAGCACAAGGGGGATCAGTGGCATGGACAAGGACAAAAGGAGACATTGGGAGCTTTTGCTCAACTTTGGACCAGGTGAGTGTTCTTAGATTGAGCACCTATGGCAAAGGTGCAACATCAGTTATTAAAGAGCAAAACACTACATACCTGGACATTGTTCCACCATTTGCTGATGGCAGCAAGGGGGATGGAGGAGAGTTGTTTGCAGCAGGGATGTACTCTTCCTGAAGGCTTGGATTTAAATCATTGTCTTGCATAGGCTGAAAGAAAGCTGCAAAGTTTTAGTTCTAACACAAAAACGAAAAAATATAAAGCCATTTCACCAATTTTCTCAGCTTTTCTCTCTGGCGACTTGACTACCAGTCTGGATCTTTTTCCTGCAAAGATAAATAGATGGAAACTCTCAAAAAACATTGAAAATCTTACTTTCAAGGTTCTAAAGAAGAGCAGCATAGCTTCAGTCAATGGCCCACTTCTCCACTGTGAGCGCAAGCTGTGAGAAGCAGCAAATGGCTTGTCTCATCTGGGGACATGGTCTTCATTTCCAAAACCTTGCTCCAACTAAAGGAAAAGGAAACATTAACACACACACACACACACACACACACAGAGTAGCTCACAATCTGCCCTATCACCCTAAAAAGTTTCACTTGATTTGGAGTGTCACTATTGAAGCATTGCCACCCCTTTGGCACTTGATCTATGCCATCTATTTGAAGTTTTTGAATTTGAACTGTTAGATTCACCGGATGCCATATGCCAATAGCACATTTAAATAAGGGAGTATGATAAATATAAGATTAATCTAAATGAATAATAACCGTTAAATGGTAGAATATCCTTGAATATCCAAAAATATTTTAAGTATATTCACTACCACCCCATTTCTTTGCTTAAGCAAATTAATAATTACTAAAATTAATTATTATTATAACTATTAAAGATTAAATTTATTAAAGAAAGATGGTCTTGCACATCCCATCAGTGGTCACCTGTTGTGGTACTAGCCAAGAATTTATTATTATAATTCATGGTCAAGTTCTTTTCAATTTGAGCATGACCAGGTTATAACATCATTGCTGAATTCAGCTAATTCACCAAGGGTGTTAAAGTTCCTGTGGCACAGCACCGAAATGATGAACTTTGCTTGGAGGGAATGTCAAGCTACTCCTTCAAGCCTCACATATATCGTGTGCTACACTCTCCACACAAAAGGTGACGAGGATCGATTCACGGTCACAGCGAGCGCCCAGATTTCGTTCTTCTGCTAGCTTCATCGAATCTTTGTGATTTTCTTTAGTCGTTATGACGCAAAGTTTTAAAATTCCTATATTATAAAAAAAAAAAAGGAGCAATGGATGTTTTTCACATTGTCGTGTAAACATTATGATTTAAACAAGTCGAGATCAACACGTACGACGAGACACTTCTATAAAGGATTAACGTCCCTGAAACTTCCAGTATCTTTTTTGACGTAGATGTCACTAAGCAAGGTCTTTTATTCGGGTTAATCCTCTATTTGACCAAACAAAAAGACTCCGGGTTCGATTCCTGGCATCCCCAATCTAAATTTTTTGATCGTTGTCTTAACTTTTATTTTTCCTCGCCAAGCCAATCGAAAGTAAGCCCGCATTCTTCCACTTCTTGTCAAGCAGCTGGCTTTGAACCATTTTCGCGCTTCCTCCAGCTCGGCGCTTCAGTCAATAGACAAACTCCATACTTTTGCTTAGCACGGACAAGCCTGGGATGGCTGCACGCCGTGAGCACACAAAGAAGTGCCATTCGTCTTGCATCTCATTGAAGAGCTTAAAACCATTCGTGTGTCCCCATCGCGGATCATGGCCGTCTAGGCAACTGCGTCTGGAGTCACCTTACAGAATCTTGTTCACCCTCACTAATACTCTTGCCTGAAACTTGTAGCCTTGTATCATCCTCATGAATTGGACTCCATACTTGGGAGCGTTCGCAGGAAGCAGCAAATAGTTCGGCCTCAGCCTGTGCACAGCGTACATGAAGTAACCTTGGAGCTTGTACGTCCTCGAGTCCACACCTGAAGATATCTGCGTCAATTCCCTTCAGAGGCTCCAAAGCTCCCACGCTGCTGCTAGCCTTGGGCTGGGCTCGCATTCGATGGAACAGGAGAAAGTCAAACTCGTGGAACCTTGACAAGAAACAGTGCAATAGTTCGTTTGAAGAAAGAGTGTGCTTGCCACTTGCAACTGTAAAGCCTGGCTTGTTTCGTTTCTCTGCAAGTAAAGCACTGAGTTCGTACTGGAAGAACTATAAATCGTATGGTACGTACTCTTCGATCCAGATTTCTCCATCGTCATTGGCACTCTTAGGTGGCGAAGTTCACTTATTCTCTGGCCCTGGGCTGGTTCCGGTCGAGAACTTCTGCGTCCAAGTCGGGGGAAAATCCTTTGAGACCTGTTCGTTTGATCGCAGTTAGCCACGCAATTCCTTCATGAGAAAATCTCTTCACACCTGTTTCTTCTCCGTAGGTACCGAAAGTGATAAAATCCTCCCCTAATAACCTTCTTTGGATCTTGTATTGTCAATCGCTTCTACAAGGCATTTAGAAAGTTAACACGGGGGACTCAAAGTGTCACGTACCAGATAGTTAACTTAAGCTTCGGCGCATCCTTGCGGCTTCTTCCAGCATCCCAGCCTCAGCATAAAGATTGGCCATGAGCACGTAAGCCGGGGCATTTTGATTGTCGAGCTCCATGATGGACTCGAAAGCAAGCCTCCCGAGCGCCACGTTCTTCCACTTCCAGCAAGCTCCCAGCACTGCCTTCCATATCACAACATCCGGCTTGCAGCTCATCCCTTTCACCAATTTCACTGCCTCGTCGAGTTGATTCGCGCGGCCGAGAAGCTCCACCATGCAAGTGTAGTGTTGAATCGTGGGAGCAATCCCATGCTTGCGGAGCATTGCTCTGAATTCGTCCTTCGCTCTGTCGACCAGGCCGGCGTGGCTACAGGCAGTGAGAACGGAGAGGAGCGTAACACCGTCTGGCTTCACACCGCCAACTTTCTCCATTCTCTCGAAAAGGTCCAGCACCCGAGTTGCGTCGCCTCGGCAGCTATAGCCTGCGATCAATGAGCTCCATGTCACTAAATCTTTCTTCAAAATGGAACTAAATACCTCCTCGGCCTCGGCCATGCTCCCACACTTCGCGAAGAAACTAACGAGCGCGTTTGCGACGATGGGATCTCTCTCTAGTCCAAAACTGCGGGCTTCCATCTGGATTTGCCTCCCGAATTCCAGTGCCACCAAGCTGGAGCAAGCTTTCAAAACGGCCACGAAAGTACCGGCGTCTGGAGCACAGCCTGAGGTGTGACGCATCTGTCTGTAGAGTTCCAAAGACACGGCGCCTTCCCCACACTCCGCATACCCGATGATGATACAGTTCCATGAGACGGTGTTCTTCTGTGGAAGGCTTTCGAAGAGATTGCGAGCAAGTGTGATGCGACCGCACTTCGCGTAGAGATCGATCACAGAGTTTGCCACTGCAAGGTCCAGCGTTCCAGCTTGAGAATGGATGCGTGCTCCTGTTTCGAGACACTTGAGCCTGAACTTTACGAGCCTTTCTTTCTCAGCAGTTCCCAGTGCTTCTTCTGATGCCCCTGCCGCCGTCAAGGTAGAGCAAGCTTTCAAAGTTGCCAGTAAAGTCACACGATCCGCCACACACCCTGTTGATTGCATGCGCTTGTAAAACTCGAGAGCTTGCTCGGACTCCCCGTTATGGACATATCCCAGGATCATGCACTTCCACGAGATTGAGCTGTGACGACCCATAGCTTGAAACACAGTGCAAGCGTCTTCCATGCTCCCACACTTCGCGTAGAAGTCGAGTAGAGAGTTTGCCACGAAGTGATCCGACTGGTTTCCACTTGCCACGGCCTTGGAATGAATAACCCTTCCCTGCTCCAGCCACTTTTGTCTCGAGGGACCATCTTTCTCTCCTTCGGCCAAGCTAGCACAAGCCTTGAGCGCAGCGAGGAGAGTTACGCGATCTGGACCGCAGCCTTCGTCTTGCATTCGCGAGTAAAGCTTGAGAGCAAACTCCGCTTCCCCAGCCTGTGCATAACCCGAAATGATCGAAGTCCATGAAATCACGTCCCGCTGCCTCATGCTCTCAAACACCTTTTGTGCATCTTCCATGCTCCCACACTTGGAGTACATATCCACCAGCGAGTTTGCCACAGCAAGGTCCCGGACAAATCCTGCTCTGGCGACTCGAGAATGAAGAGCTCTTCCCTGTTCCAGCGATTTGATCTTCACTGCTCTTCCTAGTATCTCGCGAGCTTCTTCCTTCTCTGCGCAGCTAGAGCATGCCTTCACTGCTGCGATGACCGTGACACGATCCGGCTCACAGCCTTCTTCTTGCATGCGCGCGAAGAACTTAAGAGCCAGAGCGCCATCTCCACACCTTGCATATCCCGAGATCATGGAAGTCCACGAAACGACGTCCCGATGCTTCATCTCAGAGAAAGCTTGCAACGCGTCCTCCATGCTTCCACACTTTGCGTACATATCCAGCACAGAGTTCGCCACCACGCTGTTTGAAGAACAGTAATTCGTTCGCTCGGCAACGTAGCTATGGACTCGCTTACCTGTTTGGAGGTCTCGCGAGTTTCTACACGCTGTCAATGCCGCAAGCACGACACCAACGCCCGGAATCGCTCCCGCCTGCTGCAACGCGTCGTAGATCGACGGAATTCCAGCATTGGAGCCGCTCTTCTTCTTGGGAGTTCTCCACCTGCGAAAGAAACGCGATTGAAAACCCTGAAACTGGAGCGAGAATTCTTACCTCGATGATCCAGCGCCGGCGCCAGTGGCAGCGCCATAGCCAGGAGATTTCCGGTGCCCGCCGCGATCTCCAGGAGCTCCAGCTGCCGCGATCGAATGAATTGCCCGCATTGTCGATTAGACCTAACAGTAAGAGCATTTCAAATAAGCCCGCTCTTTTTATTCCAATCTCCTGTTATTAGCAGGCATAGCGAAGCTACTGTGGCTCTTGCAAAAACACGTCCACTCGATGCTTTGCAAAAGCTCTTAGTAGCCACTACGACCATGGATTGGAAGCAATCGAGAACGCATCCAGTAGAGCATTCACAAGGAAAATTTCATTCTCAAGACCGTGTAACCTGTTTGACAAGCTTGAGGTAGAAGCCATGGCGGCAAGCAAAACCTAAGAACGTGGATGGATTGGATAAAGGAATATAATTTTAAACCTAAAGTTATGTTTTGATGGAGAGATTGGAAGAGTTGGGCTATAGATTAGACGAAGAAAGCTTAGAACTGCGACATACAGCGACTGATGCTGGCTTTCAGTTTGTAAGCCAATCTCATTATGAGTGTGTAAGCGATGCTCTGGAGATTAGCTTATGGAAACGGTACTACTTAGGTAAGAATTTCACATGCTGACTGATTTATTTCTACATGATATAGAGAGAATGGAGTTACCCTCACAAAAGGTTCTAGTGGTTAGATTCAATTTATATTTTTAAAATGTTTTGTCCTTCAGTGCTTTTTTTTCTTACCTAAGAATGCTGTTAAAGCTAGCGAGCTTGTTATTCTTGGCTGTGGAGCTGGAAATGTAGCGTACGTTTTCTAACTCAATTAGTTTTAGTACAAGGATTTAATTTCTGGTTTTGTTATTATCAGTGCAGGGCTCAAAAGCTATGTATTAATGTAAGTTTCTTATATTTAAATTTGTGGTACAGCGTGCACTAAAGATTGGGAGTGTTTTGCCATTTCTTGGTAAATTTTAAAGAAAATTAGTATTTTAATCAGATATAACTTGATATTTTATTAGAGTGGCACACAAGAGGAACATTGCAATGTTAGTTTTGAATCCAAATCATGCCTCTCTAAAAACGGTAGTATTATTTTAATTTTTTTTAATTCTACCTTTACTTATTAATGTTTTTATTGTCATACTTTAAGAATTTGAGAGAACATATTATATCTGTATTAGATAATGTATGTCAAAAAGTTCCAGCTAAACAAATTGCTATTATTGCACATTCATGTGGATGCTTACAAGCTCCTAAAATATCGAGGTTTTAGTTATTTACTTGATATATTTTATATCTATTCTAGACTTTACAGAGTCAGAGGTGCTACAACGTCTCAAATGCATTGCTCTCACTGATGCTGGACAAAGCTGCCTTAGACACCCCATTAAAATTTTAACAATCAGGTAAAGCATTCTAAATTGATGCATTTGTTTGTAGAAATGTTGGCTGAATCAGTCTTAAAATTGTTAAACTTGAGGAATGTCAGTAACAACTTTGGCAAACAACTTTTCTGCTTCAGGAAGGCTTTCATCCTTGGTCCATCTATAAGTAAGCTTCCACACTTTGCTTACTAAGACCAAGAGCTTTCTTGGTTGGATTCTGGAACTTCACCTTGGTTCCATGTCATTCAGAAAACGCTCACACCTTGATAAGTCAAAGTTAATGCAGTGTCCTGAACATTTCTTTCTAAGGCTTTTGGAATTAAACCGCAGCCTCCTTGAATGAAAGCCACTCTTCTTCTTCACCAAAGGAAACGTTCTGAAAGCAAGAAAAGCCTAAAACATGGACTGGTAAGGCCTGCTCGCAAGCATCAAAGAATGGAGAGCCTGCAAATCCACGCTTGGGATCTTCAAGACAAAGGCAGAGAATAGAGTGTGATCTTGTGGAGCAAAATGGTGGCGGAGTTGCAACCAGTGGGCATTATAAAGGATTTGAGCAAAGCAACAATAGCTGGTGGCAGTAGTGTTGTTTGTGGATGTATGGTACATGATAAGCGCCATCGCAAAACAGGAGAAAATTGGCTATCCCTTCCATGCAAGAGGCTTTGACCAATAAAAGTCAATGCTAATTGTAAATGCTAGAGAATATTCGTTTCGTTTGAGAAATAGGTATTTAGCTATCGCATTTGGCCGGGCTGGAGCTCCGCACGGCGACGATGCCACTCCGCTAGCGGAAGCACGAGATCTGGGCGCTCGCTGTCCACCGTGAAACGATCTTCGTCCACCTTTTGTGCGGAGAGTGTAGCACATAGCACAATCGTGTATTCCTTCGTGTCATTGCTGGTGTGGAGCCTCGCATATCTGACCGTGGGTGTGAACCAGAAGTAAGCCTCACGCCTCCCGTAAGCATTCGCCCGGTTTGAGAGCATTCCCCTCTCCATGATCGAGGCAACGTTCTTCGTTTGGGTGCCGTGCCACAGGAACTTCAACACCTCTGGGGCGTCAGCTGGTTCGAATTCAGCACTGATGTTACCTGGTCGTGCTCAAAAGAATTCCATAAGAAACACTGAGCTCTTACCAAGATCGGGATGGTCCTTTTCCATCGCTTCATATGCTGCCTTAAACCGGGTGTAGGGAGCGTATGTCTCGCGATTTTGCACCGTGAGGAAAGAATTCCGCTTGAGCGAGATGCGCACATCACTGCACTCCATGTTGCTGATCCGTTTCTTGATGAACGAACACGACACTATATAGGAGAGTCCTCGGCGAGGCTGCATTTCCCGAGCAGGAAAAGCTTAAGCAGGCAAATATCCGGACAGCATACCAGTTCAACCGCGTCGTCATCCTCAATGT